GTCGCAGTGTATCTGTGTATATTATGGGTTATGATGGTTATGGTTCTAGAAGGCTGAGTTGCCACATTCGTTGAGTAGATAGTTGTTGGTTGCTTGTTGTTTTCCATTTGTACTGAATGTATGTATGTACAAATATGAGTATGTTGGAAACAGATGTAAATACTGTATTGAGATTGTGAATAATGTGAAGGACATCGGATATTTGTGAACATGTTTCAAAAAGGCAAATCAGGTGTAAGTCTAGAAGGTGAGAGAAAGCATAATGGAGTTTGTGAAATTGTTTTTAGGAATTTGTTACTGTCATATGAGTTGTGATAAAAGGTAACAAAAAGAAAGAAAAGTAAATTGCTTATGTTATTGAATGAAATGAATGATTTTGAGAAAAATTCTTATATAAGTATATTTCTATATAAATCGTCACATTATGTATATGATATGATTTAAAACATTCATAATCATAGTTATCTGTATATTGTTATTGTTTAGGATCATATTGGGATCCTTACTGGACTTTACGTTCATCCTACGTTGCTAATCCTTTTTCAGGTGAACGTCGAGAAGTGTTTCAAGATTGAGGATCTTCTTTATGTATTGGTCACGGGGCCTTTTATTTGTAAGCGGAATGCCATTGATGTGAAAGGGTTAAACCCTTTCTTTTAATTTAAAAGATATAAGCCTACGAGCAATTTATTTATTTTTATCTCATGTTGCATCCATTTTCATATTCGAATGAGAGAACCTTTAATAATAGTACTCGTTATTGTATTGAATTTCCGTGCATGATCTCTGAAATTGTGTTACAATAAAGGATTTGAAAATGATATCTGTTGGCAAAAAAAATGGGGCGTGACATGGGACTATCTGTGGATGCCATAATAGATTCGCAAATAGGACATTCGTTCACATAATTAAGATAGCATTTCAAGAAACCATAGCTTATCGATAACAGTTAAAACATAATTTATATCAACATATCTTTACAGAAATGTTACTCACAGTGGGCTTCCAAATCCGATTGTTCGGTCTTCGAGTCTTGACCTACAAATACAAGCATTCATAGTACAATTTCTCAATACACATCCGAGTAATACAGTTGAACCTTATTCAGTTATCTGTTACTTGACCATTCAATTATTTCTATTCTTCTTTTACCTTCTTTCATGCCCATGAGATGCTAATAGATGTAAATGACATGTGAAAATCATGTAAATGAAGGCCCGGAAGTTAGAAAACGGAAAGAAAACAAAATTGGAAAAATCCATCCTGTTTGGTCGCACATACAGTGGCCTTGGTCGCACGTACGGTGGCCTTGGCCGCACGAGCGGTGGAACTTCATAATCAAATTTTGGTTGAGCCAAGGTTGGCCGCTCGAGCGGTGGCCCAGGCCGCTCGAGTGGTCTCGGTGAAAAACCAGCCCGAAAATCTGCTCAAGTGTTGGAACTCAATCTTTACAAAACCAACCTCAAATTCATGAAAATCAAGGCCTAAAACTCATGAAAACAACTTGAATTAACCATCTTTCACTTGGAACATAAATCATAACTTTAAATCAAACTCAATGTTTCATGTGAAGATCAAAACTTTGAATTAAAGGGGCAAATCATCAACTACGCACATGTTAACAAATCCATGGAGTTTCACCCTTTATCTTCAAGAATCATGCAAGAAAACAAGTTTATGAACATGAATTAAATGATTTGATGCCATGTATGTAAAGTTATGAGCCAATTTCCTTAAATTCTTGCCATATGTGCTCATATATGCTTTCTAGGTCAAAATACAACACAACACCCTTAATTAAACATGAATTCCTTCTAACTCCACTTCATATTCATGAGTTTATGTATGACTTAGCTCCATAACAAGAAATTAATAGGAAATTCTTACCTTTGAATGTTGATCTTTGAAGCTTGTTTAATTTCCTCTTTCTTCTTCTTCTTTTTCTTCTTCTTCTTCTCTTCTAAGTCTCTAGAACTCTCTCTCTCTCTCTCTCTCTCTCTCAGATTTTTTTCTTCTTTTTGTGTTGAGTCAACAACTAAGGCACATATCTATATCTCTATATATTTGTGTAAATAATGAGCCAAGCATAACTTAGCGAATCAGACGAAATCAAGTTTCAATTAAACTTCCTAAATGGCTCTAAAAATTCCCATTAACATATCCATGTACCCAATTTTTGTTTCTGAACCCATTATGGTCATCAATTTCAGTTCTGAAGTTGTAGCCTCATTAGGTATTTTCCTAATTCAAATAAATATTCTCAAATTAATTCATATTATCACATAATTAAATAAAGATAACTGTGACACGCATTTTGAGGCCATTACATTCTCTCCACCTCAGGAAGTTTGGTCCTCCAAACTTATCTTACCCTGTAACAAGATCAGAAGCCTCGGTCTCATATAATTATTCAGTTATGTTACACATGGTCAATGCAATTCAAAGATCCTTTTCAGTCATTTAGAATTCTAAATCAACTCTATATCTCTATCCCATAACAGTGAATGCAGTAGTAGTCAAGCACATAATGAACATATCTTTCACATTTCGACAAAATCAATTGTAAGATAAAGTAAGACTGAAGTAGTCAATCAAAGAATATATAAGAGTAACATATCGCCCAGTAGTTAAGGTTTCAATCTGAAGTCCGCTATTTACAACTCTCATAACATTGAATTCGAATTTAGTAACATAAATGTAACCATTCCCTAAACAATCAATAGTAAAGGTAATACCCACGTATTCAATCAGTAATATGATTCATGTGTTTCCAAGTGTTCAAATACAGTTTTCGTCTGTCAATTCTCTTAGTAACATAACCCGGTAATTCATAAGTCATTCACATGCTTCCCTGTAACCCAAAATCATTTTAGATAGAGGGCCTCCAATACATTTTGTTCTGAAGTTCATAACCAATTCGTTTCGTTTCAGTCATAATTTGTTCGAAGTTTATCGGTTTTCAAAATCATATCAATTGTTTGTCACTAGGCCTTATGGTCTCAGCCCTTCATTCGTCCAATAACAATTTATAGTCCCCAGAAACAAAATCAAATCAAATCAAGGTTTCATTTCAAACAGTGTCGTTCCAAAGATCACAATCAATTCATTAAATAGACATTTAACAGTTCTGAAATACGTCCATATGCAAATATGCGAATTCACAGTTATGCATAATATCAAGTTTATTGTCATCATTCTATCACAATAGTCCAACAAACGTTATGATCTATAATAATTTTCACACACACACACACACACACATATATATATATATTTACACATAAGTAAAATAATACCTGCATGTGTTGTCTCAATATTTTGTGTATTTTCTGAAACTAGGGTGTAAACTCTTCCCATCCTAAGGTTACTCCCCTCCACAGTTGTAGTTGCAGTTGCTTTTGTTCTTGGAGTCGTTGTTGATCCAGACCTGCTGGTAGCCGGTTTTTCATTGCTTGGATGGACTTGTGGACAAGATTTGGCCAAGTGTCCTTTTTGTCCACATCTAAAGCAAGCTCCAGAAAGGCGGCGACAGATGCCCCAATGTTGCTTTCCACATTCTCTACAAGTGGGCATGCCATTGTTTCCACTGCTTTCCCATTTTTGTGTTGTCGCCGGTTCTTGAATTCGATTTCTCATTCACGGAGGCCATTGATTCACTAACCGTTTCCACTTTCTGTTTCTTTAATTTCTTACTTTCTCCTTCAGTTGTTATTGTTGACTTGGACATTTTCAAGGCAGCAATATTTGCTTTGGACATCAAGGCTCTATCAAGTACATCTACATTCTTTACCAATTTCAAAACATTTACCCGATCAAGCACTTCGACATCTAAGCCACCCTCAAATTTTCTTATTTTTTTGTAGTCAGTGTTAACCATATGAGGTGCATATCGGGCTAATTCAGTAAATTTTGCTTCATATTCTGCCACAGTCATGTCACCTTGTTTTAGTTGTTCGAATTCGGATACCTTTCTATCTCGAATACATTACGGGAAGTACTTTTCATAGAAAATTTCTTTAAATTGCTCCCATGTCAAGTCTCTATTCTCATCTAGAACAAGCATCCACCATCTCCTAGCTTCTTCTTTCAAAGTAAATGTTGCTAACAGAACTTTATGCACATCAGTACACGGAAATACTTCAAAAATCTTTTCAGTTTCAAGCACCCACGCTTCAGCTTTTAACGGTTCAATACCCCCAAAAAATTTGGGTGGCTTCATTTTCTTGTATTTCTGTGTAAGAACAATGATGTCGTCATTATTGATCAGTTCCATTTGAACAGGTGGTGGAGGAGGAGGTGGGAATGGTTGTCTCTATTGTTGTTGCCATTGCTCTTGTTGTTGTCTCACCAATTCAGTTAAAACTTTCACCATTCTTTTTAACCGATCTATTCTGGCATTCGAAGATTCTGACTCATCTACATTTCTTGTATTTGCGTTCTCCATTGGTCTATATAACCCATAGCAGATAGAATCATAGGCAACCAAGTTTCACATTCTGTATACAATGATATGGAATATTACAACAGTTTGGCATCAAAGAACTCAGATTCATTTCAGTTTCCCTTCAGTTCTTGTTCTTTCTATTTTCTAGGTAAAGCACTACAAGCATAGGCAAATAATCTCGTATAGTTTTCACAATGTTCCGTTCATGACAGGTTAGTTCAAATATATTCCTTTCAGTTCACATGTGTTCACTTCATGTCATTTCCAATATGTGCATAGTATTCAAGTTCATTTCATTTCATTTCAGTTTGACATGTCCGTACTTTTATTTCACGCACACACACACACACACGTCTATGCCATGCCCTATTTCTTTTCTATGACACCCTACAGCTCATATGGACACGTGTGTGGGTGAAGTAACTCGTGCTCTGATACCATTCTGTCACGACCCAAACCCGCCCTTAAAAGTTTGGCGTCTTAACCGGCTAGTAATCCTTGGATTACCAAAGGCCTTCCTGTACAAACAAAATAATCGAAGCTTGCGAAAGCAATAGACAAAAACACCAATAGTCCAATGAGCTGTGCATCTATATTAATAAATATGTACATGCAAAAACGTTAATTTACCCATTTACAATACATAACGATAACATAATATCTTATACAAAACATAAGCACATGTCACAAGTGTACATCATAAGCAAAAGCTTGACAACGGCCTTCCAGGCCTAGCCCTAACTCAGAGGCACTCAAAACAACTCAAAAGACTTCAAAACAGTTGCTCAGCTAAAGACCCCTTCTAAACTTGTCCTCCAGAACGCTCACCTATACATATACATAAAAATAGTGAGTTAAAGCCCAGTGAATAACATTAAAGTAAAGGGGTTTGTGAACGAATTCCAAAGATATCAGATCCGTAAACCAAATCATGACACAATAATTCATATCAGTCTCATATTAAAACATAATATAATGGTATATCCCACAGAACATTACACATATCGTCTTCTGACTAGGAATGGCAACGAGTCAAGGCGGGGCCGGGCCAGGGCCGGGGATTGCACTCCTCGTCCCCGATTCCCAAAGGTCAAAATATCCCCGTCCCCACCCCCGATCCCCAGCGAGGAACCCATCGCCTCCCCCACCCCTACCCACAATGGGGATCGGGTTTCCCGACCCCGAAAAATCCCCGACAATCATCAACTGCAACAAACTCAACCCTAAAAATTCAGATCTGAAAAATCCTAAAAAAAATGCTCATTTATCAACAATTTAACAAAAAAAATAAAATTAGATAACTCAACAATCATCAACAACTCAACAATTTAGTATGTTTGTTCATTACACACACAGATCTAAGAAAACCCTAACCAAAAAATAAAAATTAGAGCTGAAAATATAACACAGATCAGATCCAATCCAATCACATACACAGATTAGACGCTGTCGCCACCGTTATCTCAGATTTGTGCCCCAGATCGGAGATCGTTATCATCTTCTAGATCTAGAGACGAAGTCATATGCTCATTTATCAACAATTTAACAAAAAAAATAAAATTAGATAACTCAACAATCATCAACAACTCAACAATTTAGTATGTTTGTTCATTACACACACAGATCTAAGAAAACCCTAACCAAAAAAAAAAAAATTAGAGCTGAAAATATAACACAGATCAGATCCAATCCAATCACATACACAGATTAGACGCTGTCACCACCGTTATCTCAGATTTGTGCCCCAAATCGGAGATCGTTATCATCTTCTAGATCTAGAGACGAAGTCATCATAGACATCACGAGGAAGCGGAGACAAGGTGTAAGAAAGAGAGAGGGAGAGAGAAGTGGTGGTGTCGGTGTCGGTGGGAGGACGAGAAAGAGAGAGAGAGACACAGTTTCACAGAGTTAGAGGGAGGGGAGAAGAACGATAGATAAATAGATAGAGAGAGAGAGAGAGAGAGAGAGAGAGGAAGAGTTGAGAATCTGAAATTCTGAATGGATAAACTCACCAAACACACACACACACATATATATATTCTAAATACACTCACCAAACACACCAAACACACACATATTATATTATATTATATATATATATATATATATATTCTAAACACACTAAACACATATATATATGTATACGGGGGCAACGGGGATGGTTCGAGGAAATTGCGGTGCGGGGCGGGGCCGGGAATCTATCATCGTCCTCGCCCGAAAATCATCGGGGATATGTTTTTTAATACCAACCCCAGCCCTATGGGGAATAATTTTCAAGGAAAATCCTATTTATCGGGACAGGGCGGTCCGGGTCCCCGTCGGGTCAGATTCAAATTGCCATCTCTACTTCCGACTAGAGTAATCAGTTCCGGATACCGATTAAACACATATCACCACAATGAAGTGGCTAACGAGATCTCGTATTATATATATGTCATGGACCCGCATTTACATACCGTCCCCCATAACTTGGGGCCATCTGTGGATGCCATAATAGATTCGCAAATAGGACATTTGTTCACATAATTAAGATAGCATTTCAAGAAACCATAACTTATCGATAATAGTTAAAATATAATTTATATCAACATATCTTTACAAAAATGTTACTTACAATGGGCTTCCAAATCCGATTGTTTAATCTTCGAGTCTTGACCTACAAATACAAACATTCATGGTACAATTTCTCAATACACATCCGAGTTATATAGTTAAACCCTTATTCAGTTATTTGTTACTTGACCGTTCAATTATTTCTATTCTTCTTTTACTTTCTTTCATGCCCATGAGATGCTAATGGATATAAATGACATGTGAAAATCGTGTAAATGAAGGCCCGGAAGTCAGAAAACGAAAAGAAAACAAAATTGAAAATTTTGCCCTGTTCGGTTGCACGTGCGGTAGCCTTGGCCGCACGAGCGGTGGAACTTCAAAATCAAATTTTGGCTGAACCAAGGTGGGCTGCTCGAGCGATCTCGGTGAAAAACCAACTCGAAAATCTGCTCAAGTGTTGGAACTCAATCTTTACAAAACCAACCTTAAATTTATGAAAATCAAGGCCCAAAACTTATGAAAACAACTCGAATTAACAACCTTTCACTTGGAGCATAAATCATAACTTTAAATCAAACTCAATGTTTCATGTGAAGATCAAAACTTTGAATTAAATGGCAAAATCATCAACTATGCACATGTTAACAAATCCATGGAGTTACACCCTCTATCTTCAAGAATCATGCAAGAAAACAAGTTTATGAACATGAATTAAATGATTTGATGCCAGGTATGCAAAGTTATGAGCCAATTTCCTTAAATTCTTGCCATATGTGCTCATATATGCTTTCTAGGTCAAAATACAACACAACACCCTTAATTAAACATGAATTCCTTCTAACTCCACTTCATATTCATGAGTTTATGTATGACTTAGCTCCATATCAAGAAATTAATAGGAAATTCTTACCTTTGAATGTTGATCTTTGAAGCTTGTTTAATTTCCCCTTTCTTCTTCTTCTTCTTCTTCTTCTTCTTCTTCTTCTCTTCTAAGTCTCTAGAACTCTCTCTCTCTCTCTCTCTCTCAGATTTTTTTCTTCTTTTTGTGTTGAGTTAACAACTAAGGCACATATCTATATCTCTATATATTTGTGTAAATAATGAGCCAAACATAACTTAGCGAATCAGACGAAATCAATTTTCAATTAAACTTCCCAAATGGCTCTAAAAATTCCCATTAGCATATCCATGTACCCAATTTTTGTTTCTGAACCCATTATGGTTGTCAATTTCAGTCCCGAAGTTGTAGCCTCAACATGTATTTTCCAAATTCAAACAGATATTCTCAAATTAATTCATACTATCGCATAATTAAATAAAGATAACTCTGACACGCATTTTGGGGCCATTACAGAATCCATGTCTCTCTCTCTCTCTCTCTCTCTCTCTCTCTCGCGCGCGCGCGCGCGCGCGCTCTGTGTTTACTCAATCACAATTGTTTTGTGCTTGGCAAAAACATGTCCAACCCAAGTCAAATCAGGTGCAAATGTTGAAGACTACAACAAATCGAGATTGAAGTTCCAGTTGACATGAGATTTGTTCGTAATCCAGTCGAGAACTCCACCGCCCTCTCGTCTCCTTGAGCCTCACATTTTCTTCTTATCGCATCGCCACCATTGACCACCACTACGATCTCTCTATTTCTCTCTCACTCTTTCTGCAACCATCGCAATCGCTATGATCGTCATCGCGATCCGCAATCACTGCAACCCTTGCGATCAGATCGCAACCACTGCGATACCAAGCTCCTCAGATCTAGGGTTTTTTATGATGGTGATGGTGGTGGCGGAAATGGATGAGCTGAGAGAGATAGAAGAGTTCGGTATGGTAGTAGCGGCACTGGGCGGAGGTTTTGGAAGGAAAGGCATCGAGGTAACGGAGGACGATGAGGGGAGAGAAGCAGAGCACAAAGAGAGAGTGAGAGTGAAGAGAGAGAGAGAGAGAGAGAGTGTGTGTGTGTGTGTGTGTGTGTGTATGTGTGTGTGTGTACAGTGATATATATATATATATATATAAGATATGTATGTCTTTATATTTATGGGTATACATACATATATGTATGGAGGAGGTAAGGGCAGTATTGGAATTTGAACAATAATTTTGGATGAAATCAACCAAATCTGTTTGAATTTGGACAGGTGGGTAACAGAAGGAGGGTATTTGTATATTAGTTTCAAAAGTAAGGGAGGTTTGTGTAATTTTTGAAACTGCAAGGGAGGTCCCTGTAATTAAGGTAATCCTTAGAGGAGGTCAGTATAATTTGCCTTTTATTTATTTATTATTTATTATTTTTAAGTACTTTGAAATGAGTGATTCTTGGATATTTCAAAAGTACGGTCACGTGATACTCTATGATATTATGATTGTGCAAAAAGTGAAAATATTAGAATTTTGTATTGGGTGATTAAGAAATATAAAAGTTATAGTAAATGATGATTGGTGAAATGATAGTGACACGTGATACTTCGAAAGTATCTAATAATTTTTCCTTTAAAATGATAGCAATTGTTAGACTCAAAATTTTGGCTATAAATTTTGGGTGATGTACTACTAACCCTTTTAGTTACAAATGTTTTACGGCTATAACTGTGTCACTCTTTAATTAAAATGAGTGTTTTATAAACATTGGTTTATATAATTTACAAATGATAATACATTATTTACTGCCCATATTTTTATATATAAAATGTTCAAATATTTGGAACTTATTAACAAATGTACTTAAAGATTGTTTGTCACTATGAACAATCTCTGTTATTAAAATGACACAACATCATATGGTTAATTAACTAATTTTTGTGGGAACAACCAAGAATCTCTCTCCATTTAATATATATATATATATATATATATATATCTTTTTATCTTCTCATTTAAAGTGAATTCATGAACAGGATTTCTCGAAAAATTATTAGAAAATAATATTCTATACCAATTATTTATTAAAATAAGAACACAAAATTAATAAACTTACTATTTACACAAACAACTATTAAGGTTTCGTTTGGAATGTGGATTGACTTTTTAACTTTTTGACTATTTTGTCATGGGGATAAAAAGCCTTGTTTTGGATTGACTTTTTGGCTTTTTTGACTTTTGTGAGAGAAAAAATAAAATGATTATGATTTGGATGTGACATTTTGTCTTATTGGGCTAAAAAGCCTATTTGTCTTTTTATGGCTATTTTAGCTAAAAAGCCCCCGTTTAGCTTATGCCAAATGAGGGCTAAGTTAGAGCACCTTATTAGGGGTGTAAATTTAGCCCCGCCTACCTAGGCTTGGGTCCGAGCCGGCTCACAGGTCAAAAAATTAGGTTCGGACCCAGGCTCAGGAGATATTCAGGCCTTAGGCAGGTTGGAGGGTCGAACCTCGGCTTGGGCTCAGGCTTAGGCCAAGCCTGGATGGGCTTGAAATTTTTTTTAATTTCTTCTATTAAAATTTTATTCTTTTCCACCAAAAATGACACTAGCCCTTTGGCGGGCAGGTCCTCAAGCGGGGTTTTGAGTGGGCTTTGAACGGGCCGATGGGTTGGGTCATGGCACGGGCTTAAAGGTCGGGTCGGGTTTCAAATGACAGCTTAAGGCCTCGGGTTGGGCTCGGAACCCATCTCGGGCCGTGGGCAGGTTTCGGGCCGCCCACAGGCCGCGGGTCATTTTTACACCCCTACACCTCGTGTACTTGCTTCACGTGAAAAATTATACTGTAGTCTCGGAGTATCACGTGACCATACTTTCTCACCTATCATCATTCATTATATCTCTTTATGTGCCTCAATTATCCAACACAAATAATTAATACTCCACCTTCTCCATTAATCATACTATCATAGAGCATCACATAGCCATAACTCCCAAACTATTAAATAATCACCTGCTTCATGTGGATTGAATATTTGCTCTCTCTTGTTGCCCAAATTTTTTAAGAATAATGCTATATGTACCAATTAATGTACTAACTAGTATACTAACAGTTGATATGACATAATTTTAGAGATTTTAAGTATTTGTAATTTGTATAATAGGTATGGTCAGTAATAATGACATAACACTAGTTGGTACACTAATGTGTACATTAAGCCTGGTTTGGCAAGTAGTTTTTTTAGCCAAAAAGTCATTAAAAAAACCAAAAAGCCAACAACGCATACCAAAAAGTCAAAAATTTCATTTTCTCTCTACTTTTTGCACATCTTTTCGTAAAAAGTCAAAAAGTCATTCTAAACATACTAGTTTTTTTTATATTACATTTTAGCTAAAAAGCTAAAAAGTTACTAAAAAAGCATGTTTCCAAACGAGGTACTACCGATTTTTTAAATTCCTTAATGCAAAAGACTTTGATATTTATTTATTTACCCATTAATTATCAACCATTTATGGTCACTAATTTCAACTTGCAATTTTGCCTTAGTTATCATAGATTGTATAATAATATATATATACATACTTACGTTTGGATGGCAAAATAAAAACAGAGATTAAGAATTTAAATATCTAATTAGAGAAGTAACAAATGCACCTATGCTTATCATTAATGTAAGAATTCGAGGTTTTTGGTGTTGTTTCAAAATGCATAAAAGTTTATGACCAATATGATCAACTTTAAGCTATTTTTCTGATAAAATGTTTTTCGGAAAATAAAAGGAAAAATCATAAGAAACTCCTTTGCGGGGTAAAAGTCTTAAATATTTTTTAATATACTCTTCTTCTTTTTTTACATCGAACCAAACAGTCAATGAATGCAATAACATGCCCAACCGTTTTGATAAGAATAAAGTTATATCTATATATTAGTATACTAATTAGTAACATAATTTTAAAAATTTTGACTTTTTATAATTTGTATAATAAGTGCAATTCATAATTTTAAAAGTGATAATATCATAATATTAATTAATGTGTATAACATTACTGTTTTGATAACGATATTGACGGCACATTCTGTGATGATAACAACAAAGACACAGTTCAAGATTAAATAAATAAATAAATAAAAATAAAAAATCTCACAAATATAAATAATAATAAAAAAATCAAAACAGGAAATGTATCAATCTAGGTGGGGGCATGTGTATTTACAAGGGTGGGGCTACATGGATGTGAATGTGAGTGGTGTACATGGGCGTGGGCACTACTGGCCATGGGACATGTGGTAGAGCGCTAATATACAACATTGTGCATTGTCATGGGATAAACTCGGCTTTCATTCGGTTGACGTGTGCACTTGGACTTTTGTGCTTATAATACAATATTTTCATGCTTTGTTCTTACCAGTAATTTGACCAATTTAAATCACTTATGTCCAAGTTATTAGGAATATTTAATAATATTACGCTAGCAGATTTTGTAAAACAAATGTGTAATTCTGATAATAAAATGCAAGTTTCCTAGTGAGATGCTAACCTCTCTTCCATATCACCTTGCTATGATACTGATCAATGGAGCTTCAGTTTCCATCACCACCTCTCCTCTTGGCCTTCCTGCTCTTCATTTTCATCGTACTCAAAATCTTGATTAACACAACCAAACCCAATAGCTCAACTTCAAAGCTCCCTCCAGGGCCATGGCGACTACCTCTCATAGGAAACATACACCAGCTTGCTGTCTCATCACTACCCCACCACACCTTGACAGACTTAGCCACAAAACATGGACCTTTGATGCATCTCCTCCTCGGCGAAGTCTCCACCATCGTTGTCTCCTCCCCTGAAATTGCCGAACAGGTCATGAAAACCCATGACCTCGTCTTCGCTCAAAGGCCATACCTTCTTGCTTCTCGGATTATCTCTTACGGTTCCACAGACATTGGGTTTTCCCCATACGGTGAATACTGGCGACAACTCCGAAAGATTTGCACAACGGAGCTTCTGAGCTCGAAGCGCGTCGAAACGTTCCGGGGAATTAGGGAAGAGGAGGTGATGAATTTTGTAAGAGACATTTCGTCGATCACAGGGTCGGCAATCAATCTGAGCAAGAGAATTTTCTCGCTTACCTATGGGGTTACTGGTAGAGCTGCTTTTGGGAAGAAAAACAGAGATCAAGAAGAGTTCATGGAAGCTATGGACGAACTTTTAGCGTTGTTTGGAGGGTTCAGTGTTGCTGATATGTACCCATCGGTGAAATTGCTTCAGGTGATGAGTGGAATGAGAAGAAAGCTTGAGAAATTGCATAAGAGAGTCGATCAGATACTTGAAAACATTGTTAACGAGCACAGAGAGAAAAAGACAGAGAGAGAGAGTGGGAGAGGAGAAGCAGAGGACCTGGTTGATGTTCTTTTGAGAGTTCAGAAAGATGGACAGCTTGAATTTCCATTGACAGACGACAACATCAAAGCTGTCATCTTGGTTAGTATACAGCCTGACTCTAGTCTCATTAGAGACTGGTTGAAATTTTAGGATCCATTATTATTTATTTATTTATTTTTCAGTGGTGGTGCCACATTTCAGGCTGTTAAAAAAAAAAGGGTAGATCAATCTAATCTAATTAAATCGCAGGTTTTATTTTTTAGTTACGGTTTTGATTTTGATTTTGAAAATAGTAGAATCAATTGAATCGATTTGATTCTTGATTTTAAAATTTTGGTAACGATTCTAAATCTAACCGAATCATCATATATTTATTTATTATTTTTATATAAAAAAATTAAAATATAAAATGCTGATAAACTCTAACCAACTTAAATTTAACCAAACTAATTGTTATTAGTTTGTTTATTAATATAAAATACATATCATATTTATCGTTACATAAAATTTCTAAAGTCTTAAATCAAATCGAATTAAACTGATTTATATGGTTCAGTTTCACAAGTCGACGGCTTGATTACAATTTTAATTTTTTTGGAACCATAACAAATAGTTTGATCTTTAATTTACTCTTAAACTTAATCAATTCGATCCGTGTACACCCTACCAATATAACACCACATTTTTATCAGAGAAAGAGAGAGAGAAAGAGAAAGAGCATAGAAAGAAAGAGAGAGAGAGAGAGAGAGAGAGAATGAGGGATAAGGAGTGTGAGTTCACCTCTTCACATGGATCATTCCATGTCATTGAAGGTGAATTGAAAATTCTCAATTAGAGCGCTCAAGTATTATTATTTATTTATTTAAATATATTAAGGCTTTATTTGGAAAGCGACTTATAAGCTAGCTTATTGGCTTATTGACTTATTTGGATTACATTACATCTTTATTTTTTCTGCATATTTTTTTTATAATGAGCCAAAAATATTAACTTATAAGCCACTTTTCAAAACAATCTTAAGAATGTCATTATCAACTTAGGGAGCGGTATGGTGATGCGAGGGCTCAAGTTCTAGTGCAGGATATATGGTCTCTAAGACCTTGTTTGTCATAATTTTTTTAGTTAAAATAATTAATAAAGATAAAAGTTATTTTAGCGAATAAGAAAAAATATCACATTTAAATCATAATTATTTTATTTTTCTCCCACAATCATAAAATCAACTAAAAAAGAAACTATTATTCTAAACATAATTTTTTTACCTATGCCAAAATAATTAAATAGTCAAATTAAAAAAGCGTATCACAAACAAATGAGCGCTGACTACGGGACCTTGCACTATTTTTAAAATTTATATTTATTATTTATTTTTTAAATATAAATATTATAAAATTATCTTATTGTAATTATAAGGTAAATGTAAAACTTTTCATAGATAATTTTAAAATCAACCATTTTAATCATTCTAGGGGTCTCCTTATTGAATGGTATATTCCATCAATCCAATTTTCAGACTGAAAAATTTCTAAAATAACATATTTATTTTCATTTTATTTTATTTTAATCACATCATTTCTTTTTTAAAGTACATTATTTCTTATATCTGTATACATATATTTTCATAAAAAAATAAAAAATTATTAAAATAATCTATTATCAAACAACCCCTAAACAGAATGTTAATTTTGTGACTTTTTGGTTAGCCCACATCGTAGTTTAATTCAAAAAAAACTTTCTTCAAAGTTTTGTATAATTATTCGGTCAAGTTTGTTTTTTGTTTTACTTGCGCAGCTACACCATAGCTACATTAATAGTTTTGAGAGGTGAAGTTAGCTATTTTTTATTTTAAACTTTAAAATATTTTTTTTATTATATATATTTATTTTAGATTAAATTTATACTTTTAGAATATACTTTCTCAAATTTTATTTTCTACAAAATTTCTCAATTTTCCAACCGAGAAACCTTTTGAAATTTGAAATTTTTATTGATTTCTTAAAAAAAGATCAATTTGTTACTATTTCTACTTACAAAATCAAGAAATTTCTCAATTTTCAAAAAATTTCTTAGTGCTAAAATTGAAAATTTTTGTTTAAAAAAAGGAGAGAAATTTCTCAATGCAAAAACTCATAAATTTCTCAACAAGCATAATATAGATTTTGTTTGATAGATTCCCTACAAAAAAATTCTAAAAATATTAATTTTCAAGTGTGCACATCATTTCAATACAGCTCTATGTTGCATGCATCTTATTTTAGGGCATTTGTTAGAGGTTTGAGATCAACATTGATGTGTTGTTTCATTTTTCTTGCTTTCACATTGCTGTGCATAGCTTCAAAAGATATATAGGCATGAAGATGGGTAACTATTTTTTGAAGAATTCCTAGCAATATCAATAACCTAAATTGAATACCATCAACCTCATTCCAGGACATTTTTAGTGCTGGAAGCGAGACATCATCAGGAGTTATAGAGTGGGCGATGTCAGAAATGCTAAAGAACCCAAAAATGATGAAAAGGGCACAAGCTGAGGTAAGACATGTGTTTGATGGAAAAAGAAATGTCGATGAAACTTGCCTTCATGAATTGAAATACTTAAACTCAATAATCAAGGAAACATTGAGGCTACACCCCATTGCTCCTTTGTTACTTCCAAGAGAAAGCAACGAGCAATGCACAATTAATGGATACGAAATACCTATCAAGACCAAAGTCATTGTCAATGCGTGGGCGATTGGTAGAGATCCCAAACACTGGAACGAAGCAGAGAAATTTGATCCGGAGAGATTTCTCAACAGCGCAATTGATTTCAAGGGGGCATGTTTCGAATATATACCATTTGGAGCAGGAAGAAGGATATGTCCAGGCATTGCATTTGCTATTCCTAATATTGAGCTTCCACTCGCGCAGTTGTTGTACCATTTCGATTGGAAACTCCCCGGTGGAATGAAGCAAGAAGAACTGGACATGACAGAGACCTTTGGTTTGACTGCACGAAGAAAAAATGATCTTCAAGTGATTCCCATTCCTTATCATCCTCCTCATGTTAAAGAGTGAGACCTTAAGGAAGATATATATGTTAGATGCTAGTTTTATATGTTCCTATGGTATTGTAAACTTGTAATGACTAATAAATGTGCAATCGATAGTCATGGAGTTTCTTTTCATGTTCATGGTACAAAAAGTATGGAAGGGATTCAAAACCAATAATTTATGTAACTATGTTGGTGAATCAGTGATGACTTATCATTTAGATTTGGGAATATATTGTCAAAAATAATTATTTTTATAAGAATATTCAGAAGTCGTACTCACTTTATTTTAATTAATAAAATTTAAAAAATTCACTATTTTTTGTTCTTATTTTACAGGCAACTGTTTTGTGTGTACAATTACCTCTTTGCATTAGGTTTCATTTCCCTTGAAAAAATGTTTAAGACCCACAAATGTATCCATAATAATATGATATTTTACGTGTTAATTTTTAATTTATTATACATCTAATAATATAGGGTTCCACCCTCTTGCAATATCATTATGAATGAATTTGTGAGTTAAAAATATGAATTTGTAGCATTACTCTTTTCCTTAAGATGGTGGAATCTACTGAAATTTAGAATTTTAATTTTTTTTTAATGGATATGCAGTTGATCTGATGTAGAACACGTTAACCGTGCTGCGTGGGGGAAAGTAGGAAAGACAGCTTGAGTTCATGTTCATGGTACAGAAAGTAGGAAAGACATTCAAAACCAATAACTCATTGTGATGACTTCTTGTTTTGATTATAACAAAGTACTGTTCCCAATTGTTTGGCAATTGGTTAAAAAAGCCACCAAGTCGTTTGTCATAAGCTAAAAAAACCATCACATCATCTTTAATTTGTAGTAATTAGCTTAGCTAGTTAGTTTATTCGGACTTTCCTGTGTGAGGTCGCAACGTTGTAATGATGTATATGTCTTCCAACCCCACGTCTTTCTCCCTTTTATTTATTAGCTTATGATGGTTAGTTTGAGGCATCATGTTTCGTTTAGCATTACTCATGTTTGCATCCATTTGTCTTGGATGCACCGAGACTCGATTCATCATTCTAACTTGCATTATCGTTTAAAATACTTCTTTGAAAAAGGTGCTTAAACTGCATGCTATCAAATTGTTTCATATATCATATTAGTAGCCGGATCTAGTAATTGCATGTGACGATCTAGAATTTTTCCCTCCGCTCAAGCGGGGGAGTTGACGCTGAGCGGACTTGTGAGGCTCCTAGTATTTTTGCAGTCTGTCCGAGATTCTGAGAGTTGTGAATTCCCGCTCGAGCGTAGGAGTGGTCGCTCGAGCGGACGACTTTGTTGGTCTGCGCGCTTGAGCATAAGATTGGGCGCTCGAGCGGTCTCCCTGGTTGAGTTTGAATTTCTGAGACTAGTGGGTTTATTTTTGGCCTTTTATTGTTGTGTTTGGAGCCTCCCTATTTTATTTTGGGACATTGATTGAGGTGGTAACATGATGGTAAGATTGGACCAAAAACTTTAATTCGAATAATTTGCCTACAATCAGCCGTCACTCTTTTGCCCTTTTCTTTTTCCATACTTTGAATTTGGGTGTGAAGCTAGAACCATTGGAAAGCTTGTTTCCAGGGTTTCAATTCGGACACAAGAACGACCTAAAACGGATTCCGGATGAGAGAGTTATACCTGTTTGAAGTTTTGGAATCTGTGTTGGAAGTATGTATGCTCGAGCGGGAAAATAGATGCTCGAGCGAACTGTGCGAATTCAGCAACTTAAAAAGTGAATTTCTAGATCATTTTTTACATTTTCTTTTTCCCTCTTCCTTCCTGTCACCCTAGGTCCGAAAATCCTTGATCTCTTGATCCAAATATCTTCCATTCCTCAAAGTTTTGGCCAAGATCTCCTACCAAAAAGTGAAGAACACATGAAGATCTCATTTTCCTACCGAATGAAGTTTGGATTTGTGAAAGAACCTCATTAAAGCTTTGCTCTTTTGCTTGATTCTTGAGGTAGGGGTCCTAGTTCTTCTTCAATACTTACATTAATAGATAGATTTGTAGTATTTTGATTATATAAATACAAAATCTCCACTTTTGAGCATATAGTGTACATCATGAGATTTGGGAGTTAGGGTTTGAAGTGTTGGGGGTTCAATTGTTGGGTTAATATGGTGGATTATGAACCTTAGGTGTATAATCAAGGGGAAATTCGATTTAAAAGTAGTGGTGTGAGAAGTTTCAATTTTCTTGAAATTCTTGATTTTTCTTGAAAATCCTAGGTTGATTCAAGATGATAATTAATGATTTTGCCCAAATTGAAAGTAAAATCATGAAATTGAGGTATTGAATTATATATATGCAAGTTTAATTGAAATTTGGAAGCATTTGAAAATCATGTTAAAAATTAGCGATTGAACCTTTATTATGAATATTGTAAATCATGCTATAATATGAAATGAAAATTAGGGGAAAAGATTTGTTGATGATATGGATGATATAAACTTGGTTATGGAATGTTGAAATGGGATTTAAGAATTTACCTTGAATTATGTTGAATTATATTTAGTGGTGTTGAGTTGAATCATGTTGAATAGTGTTGATTATGTTGAATTGTGGTGATTATGTTGAGTTGTGTTGGTTATCTTGAAGTGTGTTGGCTATGTTAAATTGTGTTGAATCATGGTGAGTTGTATTGTGTTGGGTTGTGTTAAGCTTGAGTTGTGTTGTGTTGGATTGTGTTGAGTTTGAGTTGTGTTGTGTGGAGTTTGAGTTGTGTTGTGTTGGGTTGTGTGGAATTTGGGTTGAGTTGTGTTGGGTGTGTGGATTTTGGGTTGAGTTGTATTGGGTGGTGTCGTGTTGGTACCCGCGCTGGGAGTTAAAAGGGCAAATTACACTAATAGTCCTTATAGTTTGAGAGTCGTGTCACTTTAGTCCATGACTTTTCAATTGTGACGCATTTGACCCTGAATTTTGAATCTTGTCTCAAATAAGGACAATTGAGCATACCATTGCTTAATTTCAAGGGCAAGATTATCAATTTGATAAAATATAAACTAATTTGACAAAAATAAATGCCAAAAAAATATTTTAAAATTTTTAAAAATTATTTCTACCCACCAAAGATAAAATTATGTAAAATTGATAAAAATTAATAAAAATTACATGATTAATTTTTAAAAATTAATTTTACATGATCATCATCCAAATACATAATAAAAATTAATTTGGTAAAAAAAAATAAATGTCTAAAAGATTTATCAATTTTATATAATTTTATCTTTAGCAAGTAGAAATAATTTTTAAAAATTCAAAAATATTTTTTTGACATTTATTTTTGTCAAATTAATTTATATTTTATCAAATTGATGAATTTGCCCTTGAAAAATCCAATAGTATCTTCAATTGTCCTTATTTGGAACAAGATTCAAAATTCAAGGTCAAATGTGTCACAATTGAAAAGTCAAGGACCAGAGTGACACAAACCCCAAACTATAGGGACCGTTGGTGTAATTCACCTGAGTTAAAAAATGGTTTTTCGGTGTCCACAACTGTCTGTATAATAGCCGGTAAATGTGGGGGATGATTTTAAAAATTGAAGAAAAAGGTTTTTGGGGGCCCACGTCCCGCCGTATAGTAGCCAGCAAATGTAGGGGTGGTTTGAATTAAAGGTGCCCAATTGCCTTGTCTAGGCATATCGCTGGACGAAAGTGGGAAAATGTTTTCGGGTGTCCACACAGTCCCGTCGTATAGTAGCCGGTAAAAGTGAAAAAATGATTTTTGGGTGTCCACACAGTCGTAACCGGCAAAAGTGGAAAAACAGATGGTTTTCGAAAATGTTTTGGGTGCCCACGTCCTGCCGTATAGTAGTTGGCAAACGTGGGGAATTGTTTTAAAAAGTTGAAAAATGGTTTTTGGAAAAATATGATTTACAGAAGAAAATAGCTTTTGAGAAAGTGGTTTTTGGGAGTTCACTTCCCGCCATATAGTAGTCGGCGAAAGGTGGAAAGTGTTATGAATTGGATGCCCGCTATCCTGCCGTAGTAAGTCGGCAACAGGTGGATTGTGCTAAGATTTGTGTTGACAAGTGTGTTGAGTGGATGGTGTTATTTGTGACTTGTGATGAATCGGTGAAATTGCAAATTGATGTGTAATTTGGTTTAAAGAGGAAATGTAAATAGACAATATTTGTAAAGAATGGAACCCAAAAATGGGTAAGGGGATTATGGATTGGTGATGGTAAACTTAATGAATTAGTTATGTCAATAAAAGTAAATCATGAGTGTTGTTTTGTAAATAAATGAGAGGCTGAATTGGAAATGGTGTATTAATCTTGCGTTATCTTGAAATAAAATTTGGGAGTGTAAATAACGAAGTAAATTGGATATAGGAGGATTGTTAGTGACTTAAAAAGGGAACTTGAACCTGAGGTTATGGGGTTATAAATAAAAATAACGAATAGGAAAAAAAAAGAATGAAAGAAAAAGGGGAATGTTAAAAATGGAAATTAAATAAGAAGTATTTTGGGAATTGGTTAATAATTTGTAAACGATGTTGTTTCTTAAATATGTTTGTTTCATAAGTATTTATGATTTTCTAAAGTTAAGGGATGATTTTAATGGCTGAGGGTTTTGCTTAAAAGTGTTTAAATAGTTTTTGAGAAAAAGGTACTTTACTTATGGTATTTTGAAATTATAAAATGTCATCCTACTATATGGTATCACCCTGCATGCATGATCATTTCTATTTGTGTGTTAGTTATTGATTTAGAACTATGAGGTTCCTACTACGCATTAGTGCTTACCCTTTGTTGTTTTACTTTTTTTTTTTACAGGAAGAAAGTGTGGATTCTTGATTGAAGAGTTAAGAAGTCCATGTGTCTCTTATATGTAATTTCATTGTAGATGTGATGGATCTTGTATTTGTATTTTATTTATTTGTAGCTTCTCAGTAGGAGATTGGTATGTATTGTTATCATTGTAATATTCATAGAGAGAGAGAGGGCATGTATTATTGTATTTCTATTACTCAAGGGTAATAGGTAATTTTTTTTAAAAAAAAAAGGGACCTATATTAAAGGCTTTGGTAATGATTTCAAGTAATTAAAATTTGGGGTGTGACATTGCATATCGCATGTGTTGCATTAGTCATATTGCATTAGTTAGGATCATGCATTTTTCTAACTCTTTTATCTTTTTGGCTTGGAGTACTAGATGAGCCTTTACTCGTTTTAGCATATTGGATTGTATGTTAGTGTT